CTACACACAGCCTCATATTATTTATTTAATTATGTATGCACACACACCCTGCTGAGTTCATTTGTGTTACTTATATATGTATTTGTGATTAGGGCTGACCATGAAAGGGAGACTCAGTCTGGTGTTTTGATTTTTCCTTGTTCCTTGTTACCTGTTGAGGGGCAGGAGCTTTAACAGGCTTGCACTGCCTTTTTTTCTAGACTATTAGAAAGTTTCCTTGTTTCTTGATGTTGTCGGCTACTAGTCCAATCCTGAGGTCCAAAAGTTCATAAAATTTTATATTTCCTTCTTTATTCATTACCTGAGAATATAAACAGCTCCGTAAGGAGAAAGTTCCTGGCTTAGAAGGTTATGTAGACATGTAGTTCATTTTTCTTTCTCAGTCTTCAGAGTAATGATTTGGATCCTAAGTATCCTACAGAGGTGACCAGTAGATTCGTTGTTGTTGCCTTGGTTCGGTTTTGCTTCCTTTGATGTTTTTTCAGTTTTCACTGTCATTACAAGTGACATTCTGCCAAGTTTGGTGGGTCAGAAATTCTTCATTTATGCTTATGCTGTTCATATGACCCTAATGATGGATGACAGTAGTAGGGATTTTTGGAATTTTTCTATTAGTTTGATAGCATATTTACAAACTCCTCTTGAACATTCTTTCCTCAGACATGAAGTCAGCCATCTTCTCCACAGAGCTGTATTAATTACCAATGATAGTCATGGTATTATAGACTTGCAAATATACTTGTTTAGCTATTTCTAAGCCTCTGTGGTAGGTAGAACTAGAAAAAGTACTTGCTTACTTTATTGCTTATTAGGTATTTAGGTAATGTTAAGTCAAAACTTTATTTCACACTTATACTTCTAATTCAAATCAACAAATTCCTTTTCACATTCAAGATTAAAATAAAAGAAATGTATTCTACTGTAAGAATCCAGGCTCTGTGCTTCCTCTTCCTGTAATCAAGCCTGAGGTGACCTATGGAAAATGACTTCCTACTCCCTTGACTCAGAAACCCCTATAAAATCAAGCTGCAAATCATTGTGTTTGCTTTAAGAACATCTGTGAAACTGCCTTGCCCATCAAGGGTGTGTATATCTGAAAAGTCACCAAGGAATAGACCCACTGGTTAGACATATGTCCTCATTATTAAATCACCTCTCAATGAATGGAACCACTAGATGCAAAACAAGCCTTCAACATCTGAGCCTTTGGGGACATAGGAAAACCATAATACCTACCACAAATTTAAGAGGCTCCAAATAATGTTTTAAAGGTTTCTTGGCAGTTCTTTTTGTTTTTAATGTATACCTACTGCTATAGTTTGATAACGTGTAACATTTCTTTCAGTATGGTTCTGTTGTAAACTAGGTAGACATTTAAGTGCGCTTCTTGTATTTTAATGCTTAGGGAAAGATTTCTTTAGATATATTTAAATAATGCTCATTTTATAATTTGGCTAATTGTTGGCATAGTTCCAAAGTTAACTATACCAAAGAATATAATTAAAGAGCTTTAGTTTTCATACGGGTTCCCTATCTTCTATTCCATCACTTTCACTCTGAATAACTGTTTTTAATTATTTTTTTATTTTATAAGGGTGGTTGTTTTGCCTGCGTGTATATCTGTGTCAGATACCCTAGGACTGAAATTACAATTGTGAGATGCTGTGTGTTCTGGGAACTGAGCCTGAGTCCTCTTCAGTGTTTATTTACTGCTCAATTCTTTCTACTCTATAGTATATTCTATTTAGTTTTTTATAGTAAAGCTTGTTTTTTTTTTTATTTTAAGAATGGAAGACGTGAGCCCCAACTTTGTCACACTGTGACGGTGATATTATACATAATTCTCAATAATCCAAAGTCCTAAGTGAATGTGTGTTTGTGTATGTGTGTGTGAGACTTATTCCTGCCAAGTTCAATAATATAATTTTTCTATAAGATAAATATTTATTTTTAAAAGATTAAAATACTATATGACTTGCTCATGCTGGGAGAATGTCCAATATGGTTTGGGTCACTGAAGTAGTTAATTGTCGCTTGCTGCTGCTCATCTTGTTCTTTTAGACAATGTCTAACTTAGTACCCCTGGATCTCGAAGTCACATGTCTCATGCCTCTGCCTTCCAGTGCTGATATTACAGGCTTGTACCACTATGCTCATCAACTTTCTGTTGCCCTGAGTACTTTATAGGAAATTTCTTAAAAGCTATAAAATCATTTCCCAATTTTCTGTGTAATCCTATTCTCTTGGATTTGAGTTACTCCTTTCTTTTCATGTGCGATTTATTTGTTTATCCATTTTATTATAAATCATCATCATGGGAATGTCCATCAGCTTGATTTTCTAATTTAAAATAACTCTTATGGCATTGCAGTGTTTTAGTTTCCTGGTGACTAGAAGTATGTGTTCAGTTTCTATATCTTCCCTTATAACATACAATAATTTTTCAGTAAATCTCTAGTACTGTTAGAAACAAAGTACTGTGGTTGGCTTATGGATAGAAGGTAAAATATGAAAGGCAATTGTGGTGAAGGCTGTTGCTGCCTCTGTCTCATCAAGGTTTCTTGTGCCAGGACAGGAATCAACAGCAGGACATAAATGGCTGCAAAGAAGCAACTTGGCAAACTTGGTTAACTTAAAATTACAGTTGCTCATTAAGTAGCTTGCCTTTGCCTATAGAAATGACAACATGAGAGTCCTATTTTTAAATCTGTTTTCTGTTCTTATTTTTAGCACGAATGTTTCTTTACTTCTAATGCTGTGTTATTCAACCAAAATATTATGTGTACCAAATTCTTTAGCACCATGTCTAATCTATAATAGGTACCCAATAGCTGTTGAACGAATGTTGCAATGTGGAAGGGATAACTTATATTCTGCTTTAGAAAGTAAACATACCAGTTGAATTGTACATAGATAACAAATTGACTCCTTAATAGCAAATAAGATTGTAGGGAAGTGGCTCCCTCATCAAAGCGCTTGCTCTGTGAGTCTGAGCTCAGATCCCTAACAACCACTTAACACAAGAGAAGCAGAGGGGCACATACCTGTAATTCCACTGCCGTGGACACAGAAACAGGCAGAGACCTAGAGGTTACTGGCCAGACAATCTAGCTGATCAGTAAGTTTCATGTTCAGTGAAGTAACGTGTCTCATAAAATAAGGTGGAAAGCAATATAGGAAACCAGTCAGCATTACCTTCTGACCCTGTATACACATGTATCTGCATGCACACATGCATATGTGATACACATACACAACTTAAAATAAAAAATACAGAATAAGAATAGAGACCTCTTTTAAACATTTGATTGCATGTGTGCACACATGTAGAGTTCAGAGGACAATTTGTAAGAGTTGATTGTCCCTTCACACCATGTTAAGTCCTCGGGATTGAGTTCAGATTGTCAGGCTCCACAGTAACAGCCCTTACCCACAGAGCCATTTTTCAGCCAAAGTCCTGAGATCTTTCATCTCAATTTATTTGCCTCTTTCTTTATCATATGCTAATTGTATCTGAAAGGAGTATCAGACTCCTTTTTTTGGTAACTTTTTTGGTAGGAGAAATATTATTCAAGAAAAAAGCTGCATTTGTTCAGATCACTTTTAGCAGAAATTAACAATTTTATTTTAGGCTTGAATTCTAACAATAATGAGTGATTTCTATAGTTGCCTGTAACCCCAGCCCTCAGGAGCCCAAGCCAGAACGATCCTCTGATCTGGTTCAAGGCCAGCCTCAGTTGCATAATGAGTTAATAGTCCATCTTGGACTATACAAGGCTATGAAATTCAAGCTATTTTAGTGTGTTTCTCTGTTGCTGTAACTAACCAAAACACTAACTAAAAGCAACTTGAGGGAGTAAAGGATTTGTTTGGCTTACATGTGAGAATCCATCCGTTATGGACGGAAGCCAAAGGCAGAAGCTGAAGGCAGGAACTGAAGCAGAAACCAGAGAGAAATGTTGCCTATTGGCTTCCTTCCTCTGGCTTGCCAAGCTTCCCTACAGCCCAGGAATAGCACTGCCTACAGTGACCTGAGCCATCCCCCATCAATTATCAGTCATGGTAATTTCTCACAGACCTGGCTCCAGAGCTGTCCAATCTGGACAATCCCTTACTTGAGATGCCCTCAAGACTCTGAGCCATGGCAAGTTGAGAGTTGAAGCTAACTGACGCAAATAATAAATAAATGAGTGAATATTACCATTGTCAGGAATTTGATTTCACTTGGTTGTATTACATAAAGTAAAAGAAACATGTTTATTTGAGAGCATTTGGAAAATGTAGAAATACTAGAAAAAAAAGATAATTACAAATCTCCATAATTCCAACAAATGGAAAAAGTACGTCACCCATTATTTTGGAGGAAAACTTCTTTAGAAAGCAAATTTAATTCTTTCTGAATATTTTTTTTAAAAAACTTTGCACATGCCGGGCGGTGGTGGTGCACGCCTTTAATCCCAGCACTTGGGAGGCAGAGACAGGCGGATTTCTGAGTTCGAGCCCAGCCTGGTCTACAGAGTGAGTTCCAGGACAGCCAGGGCTACACAGAGAAACCATGTCTCAAAACAAAACAAAAAATAAATAAATAAATAAATAAAACTTTGAACATTTTAAAATGTTTATGTATTATATGTAGATAGTTATTTTGCCTGCATGTATGACTGTGCCACATGTGTGCCTGGCCCATATATAGGTCAAAAGAGTGCATTTGATCCCCTGGAACTGGAGTTATGAACAGTTGTGAGACATCATACAACCAGTGTTCAACCCAGGTCCTCTGCAAGAACAAGTGCTCTTAACCAACCTAGCCATCATTCCAGACCCCTCTTTCCTAACTTTAATAAGAATTATCTTTTAGATACTCAACTTTCATTTTGTTAGTGATTGATTTTGAAAGCTGCTTAACTCTTCCTCATTAATCTGTCCTCTTTAATGTAGTGAGTGCCTTGATCCAGCCAGTTTATGGGCCAATTGTGCCTATCTCATTGTGTTTTGAATAGGTCGAGAAAATTCAACTTCTAGTTCCTCAGGGAAGTCCAGAAGAATCACAAATGAGAGATGGGAGAGTCGAATGTGGCGAGATAAGAAGTTTAGCTTGAGAGACCACCTAAAATATGGTCATGTCGATCCTGAAAGTATTCCACGGAAATTTATTTTGGAGCATGAGAAGTTTCTCACCCAGCAGTTTAATTCTCAACCTGCAAAGTACATACCACCAGAAGGAAAGCCCCCCCAAACTCAATGAATTTCAGAGTGCCCGAAGCCTTGGACATTTTGAAGTAACCATCCTAGGTAGGTGAACTTCTATTATTTGTGAATACTATTAATTAAATGTATGTTTATATTTAAATATAGTTAGAAATTAGCCTTAAAAATATAAGCAACCTCTTCCATATACAAATCCAAGTGGGGGGAATTTCTGTTTGGCTCAAACTAAATGAAGGGAGCACTAATTCTGATATAAAATAAAGCTCAGATTGCGGGCTTTTCAACACTGACATGTCCTTGGAAATTTGGGTGGATATGAATGTGGGAACTAACAAAGCTTTCATTTACCCATGACTGATCTGACTACTGTCTGTTGATCTTTGTTTCTGTGGTATCAATGCTAATAGCCCTAACCTTTACCCAGCAACTCCTTTTCACCATTATCCCTTCTGCCCCTTCTTTCGTGTTCCCTCACATGTTAATATGCATGCAGTAAAACATATAAATATCCACTGACAATGAGAGACTTAATTTTCAGATGGTCTTCACTAGACTGTGGTGCTTGATTTCTTCAGGTACTTTACCAAACTTAGCTTCATATCTAGGAAACAAAAGTCAAGCCAAGATTTCCCATACGTCACATAAAGTAACCATAGGAACAAAGAGTCATAGAGAAACACAGGACTGAATGTTTTTCTTCCTTTAGCACTCTACAGATTGATTGAAACAGATTGACTGTACGTCTCAGCTGACTCATATGTAGTTGTCACTTTTTATTAGCTTTGGCTATGAGTCAGCTAAAAGCAAGAATAGGGCAGAAGGAACACAAATTTGTCACACTGTTCGCCAGATTGGATTAATGTTAGAAGCGTGCTATTTTTATATAAATGTTATCTTACCTGGTTTCAAGGATGCTTTAGAGGCAAAAGACAAGCCTTTTATGGATTTTAAAAGAAGGGTAGAATGTAGGTATCACTAGGTCCATAGAGATAACCAATTTCCCACCATTTGACAGTAATTTTCCCTGAGGTTGCTGGCATGGAGAAAGAGCATTCTTTTATTTATTTCATTACATGCCTTCAAGTAGCACACTCAGACTGAGTACATAGAAGGCCATGATTAAAAATCCAGTTTCCTGACTCTCTCGACCACTTTTGTTTCAGAGAAAACAAACATTGAATATTGGAATAGTGGGCTTTTAAATTCAAACAAAATTCAAGTCTAAATGTACCATGTAAAGTTATTATATAATTAACATGGTTACAAATGAGTTTTTATCTTCAGCCAGATTTATTTTCTAAAGATATGACATCAGAGATAGTTGATTCCTACCTTGACCCTATATATAATCACTTATAATAATGAGGCATGGCTAAATAAATCCACAAATGAGTATATTTCAACATGTGACTTTATAGCCCATAAATTCTGCTCTTTCATGGTTTAACATACTACAGAGATAAAATATATAGAACTAAGGTGCATGATAATGGGTATTGTGGTCATTATGCAGTTGAGTTTAGTTCCTAGTATATCAACAGGTTTTCACAGGGCTCAAACTATTTGGCATATCTTAGGTAGGATCAAACCAGGAAACTCAAAGTAGCAAAATGTGTTAAGCCACTGAACATTTAATAATGCATGGTCTTTCTCTCACAGGTTTGAACCATGAGATTGCAATTGATGTTGCATTTCTACCTATGTATTCTCCAGAAGATGTTAAAACATCTCAAATAGACACATTTTTGACCTGCATGAATTACAGCTGTGTATACCCACCGGAAGCACCTGTCAGTGGAAGGGTGCCAGATCCCAAGGCAGTTGCAGGTGACTATGTTCTTTTTGTTTAGTTTTTAAAAATACTATAAATGACCTCAACCTTTTCCTAATAGCAAAGTTTTTTATTTTGTCTTAACTCATTTGATATGTGTATCCTCTAGAACTTAAACTTGACAGTGGCTTTTAAGTAAATTAAATGGCTGATTTCCATTCCAGTGAGACCTAATGAATATTTTACGATTATAATTACTTCATCAGACTGACAGAGTATGTGCATGGAGTAGTGCAAAGCTTCCCTTTTATTCTTTATCCTTTCCTGTACCATTGCCTCAAATCATAAAACCTTAGTAATGTACTACAGCATAATTGTTTTCTCATAAATGTTTGGTTATTCAAGTGCTATTCATTCTATTCCTTCAGGACTCCTAAGAGTATATGTGATCTCAACAGTGAGACTCTTCAGCTACTTGTGTTGCTTCATAAAATACCAACACTTCCATTCTATTCCTCTAAACTCAACTCTGCAATTATAGGTGTCTTGTCCATTCTGTTGTTTCTATTCCTTGTCCAAGTGATAAAGCTTCTAGTCATTTTCATTGAGCTCAACAAGATAATGCATTTAAAAGAGAATTTAAGAAAGCCATTTATTGAAAGTTTCTGGTGGGTCCCTCCAAGCTGATGAAGTTCTAGAATCTCTGTTGATTTTTGTGCATGTCTTATCGACACTACCTAATGATATAACTTGACATTCCTCATTGTGAAAACTGAGTTTGAGTATCTAATTTTATAAGATTCATAAATTTTCCATTTAGAGATGATTTGTTAATAAGCTTGCAATATCATGTCCTATATCACAACTCCTTGGGCTCTCAGTGGTTCTAAATTTCTTAACTAGTTGAAATATTTATGTACTCATATTCTTCTTTCATATCTTATCTATCCTGTCACATGCTTTCTGGTATATGCGTATTCGGTTATTATACAATTGTAGGTCAGAGTTCCCACTTATCTGCTCATTGCTAGTTCGAGTATTCTTCCAGGCACCATTAGCATGCTCACACGAGAAATACTTGGTACCAGTCTGCCAAGTAGTTAATATTTGGACATGAAGGACACAAATCACTAAAGGAGAAAAGCAAGGTAGTAACTAAAAGCAAAGTGATTCATTGTCAGTGGAATTTTTGTAATACAGCAGTAATAATAATGACAGTGCTAAACCTGTGTTGATCACTATGCCTGGCCTTTCAACTAATCCTCATAGAGACTCCGCCAATGTGAACACTGCTATTCCCTATTTACAGGTAAAGTACACTGAAAATCACTGTCTCACCAGCATTAAAAACAGAGCTATAATTTGAGTCTGAAAGTTTGCATTGATTCCAAAATTTTCCATTACTTTAACAGTTCTAGCATGAGACATCAAAATAGGCTTGGTGATATAAAACAGTGGCTCATGGGATAACACTGGTATCATTCTTGAAACACTATAAGCTATTTTCTTTTTAATCACAAAAGCTATGCACATGAATTATTTAAATTTTCTAACAGTTACAGAAAAATCATGGGTAAAAGTGAAAGTTTCCTTTCAGATCTTCCCAGGTTCAGCCTTTCTTACTTATTTATAATGTTTTCATACAAAAACATATACTAATTACAATTTTCTATCAAATAAATGCATATAAATGATATTCTATAGACATATAGTTTTATAATCAGTTTCCCCCCCACCATAACACACCTTGGACATTTTTTCATACTGGTATAGCAAGAGCTATTTCATTCTTTTCAGAAACAAACAAAATACTACACTATGTGACATACCAAAATTTGCTTTAATGGCCTCCTATTGAGGAGTTTTTAAGACTGGTTCCAACCAGTCAAGGCATGCTGGCTGATACCTTTTACTCCAAAACTCAGAAGGCTAAGGTCCAAGGATCTCTGTGAGTTTGAGGTCAGCTTGTCTATAGAGCAAATTTTAAGCTAGACATATCTACAGTTCTTGTCTCAATAAATAGTTTTCAAATGATTTTTCTGTTGTCAAATAATACTGCACACAGTACACGTGTGTGTGTGTTTGTGTGTGTATACATATACATATGTGTGTGTGTACATGAACTCTGTATAATTATACAACTACATCTGTAACATCAATTCCAAGAAGTCAGTGACTCAAAGGATAACTCCATTGAAAACTGTAGTAAATATTGAAAAATTGTCCTCCAAATGGCTGTACTAATTTAAGTGACACCAAAGCAAGGGTGACATTTCATTCACTTGCTTGTGAACCCTAGGTATTACTGGGCTTGCTGATATTTTGCCAACCCTTGGGCCAAAAGTAACATATTATTTTACTGTATTTTTCTTAATTATTTTTGACACATGGAATCGTTTGTAGGAGACACATTCCATGGCAAGTAGGTGGAGGCCAAAGGACAACTTGGAGGAGTCAAGTCTCTCCTTCTACCTTTTGGTTCCACAAGTGATCAGACTTGAGAGCAAGCACTTTGCCCACGGAACCATCTCACTAGCACAAAATGTCTTTATTATCTTAAAAATTAAAATTCCTCATTAGTCAATTGTTTATTTTTGTCTTTTCTAGAAACTTCACTTGCTAGTTACTGTGACTGTTATTCATCTTATTATTAACTGGGGTTGTCTTTTCACATTGAAAAAAACTACCCTTCATTGTATATTAAAAATACTTTAAAAATAGCCTTCATTATATAGTAAAATAACTTTCTATCAAGTTTGACATTTATTCTATGAGAGGCTTTAGTATGTAAGTAATTTTACTCTTAAGTAACTAAATATATTATGATTTGTGGTTTTTCATTTTATGTCATATTCAAAGGCATCACTGGTTCCAAAGTATAACACTTCACAATTGGCCCAGGGAGATGGCTCATCCATAAGGTGCTTGCTCTACAAGCATGAGGACTTGAGTTCAGATCATGTGAAATCTGGGCTTGGTGACAGAGACAGAGACAGGCAGATCCCAGGGTGTTTCATGGCTGGAGAGTCTAACCTAATCAGCAAGTACCAGGACCCAGTGAGAGAACCTCACAAGGCATTTTGGCTCTAGAGGAATAACACCTAAGGTTATTCCTGGCCTCTACAGACACATACACAGATGCACATGTACATACATATACCAATTCATTGTTTTGGAGGTATTTTGATAGTCTTCTTTTTCTTCATATGTGTATATATATATATATATATATATATATATATATTATCATGATCAAATGCCAGAAACTTAACCAGTAGTTTTCATTTGCTCTTCTCCCCATCCCTTGGTAACTGTTCCAATTTCTCTATACATTTGCCTATTATAGATATTTCATTCAAATGAATTTATACAATATTTTCCCTATTATATCTGGCCTGTTTGACTTACTATAACACTGTCAGGGTCCATCCATGTTAGAATATGTATCAGCATTTCATTCTTTTATGGCTGAATGATTTCTCATTGTATAATGTATCACATTTTGTTTATCCATTCATCTGTTAAATTTCTAGAAATTTAGCTTATCTCTAACTTTGGATACTGTAAATAATTCTGCTATGAACATACACACATATGTATACACACAGACACATATGTATGTATGCATACATACATACATACATACATACATACATACAGGCATGTCTTTGAATACATGTTTTTTAGTTCTTCAGGTGCATATAAATACCTAGAAATAGAATTACTGAATTATATGGTATTCTTTTTTAAATTATTTTTACTCATTCACTTTATATCCTGCTCACTCCTCCTCCCACAGTCCTTCCCCTCATCACCCATCTCCTTTACCTCTGAGCCTGTGAGCTCATATCACCCAATCCTGGCACATCAAGTGTCTGTGAGGCTAGGCACATCCTCTCCCACTGAGGCCAGACAAGGCAGCCAGGCTAGAAGAACATATCCCACAGACAGGCAACAGAATTTGCAATAGCCCCCACTCCAGTTGTTTGGGACCCACTTGAAGACCAAGCTACACATCTGCTATATATGTGTGGGGTGGCCTAGGTCCAGACCATGTATGTTCTTTGGTTGATGGTTCAGTCTCTGAGAGCCCCAAGGTTCAAGTAAATTGACTCTGTTGGTCTTCCTACGGAGTTCCTATCTCCTCTGTAGGCCTACAATCCTTCCTCCTATTCTTCCATAAAAGTCCCCAAGAACCACCCACTGTTTGGTTGTGGGTGTCTGCATCTGTATGAGTCAGCTGCTGGGTGGAGTCTCTCAGAGGACAGCCATGTTAGACTCCTGTCTGCAGGCATAACAGAGGATCCTTAATAGTGTCAGGGATTGGTGCTTGCCCATGGGATGGGTCACAAGTTGGGCCAGTTACTGGTTGGCCATTCCCTCAGTCTCTGTTCCATCCCCCAACACTGCATTTTTGTAGACAGGATAAATTTGGGTTGAAAGTTTTGTGAGTGGGCTGGAGTCCCTATTGCCCCACTGAAGTTCCTGCCTGGCTACAGAAGGTAACCTCTTCAGGTTCCAAATCCCCAATGCTGTGAGTCACAGCTAAGGTCACCCCATTGATTTTTGGGTGCTTCCTTTATCCCAGGTCTCTGCTTCTTCCTTGAGATGCCCACCACCTCCTCACTCCTGTCAGCTGCAGATTTTAAATGGTATTCTTATGTGTAAGTTTTTGAGGAGCAGCCAAACTTTTCTATCACAAGTATACTATTTCACATATTTCTCCACAGCCTTACTAACATTTGTTCACTTCTTATTGCTTTGTTTAATTTTTTAAATAATTACACATTTAATTTTAAATGTTGTGTGCATGAGCATATGCACTCTCACTATGGCAAGTGCATCTGTGCCATGGTGTATATGTGTGGGTCAGAGGATGACTTGAACAAGTTAGTTTTCTTCTACTTTGTGGATTCCAGGGATCAAACTCAAGTGATCAGACTTTCCCCATGTACCATGACCCCTTGTTGTGTTCTGTTTTGTTTAGAGCTGTACAAATGTACAGAACAAGGTACTCTTGTGAGTTTAGTTCTACATTTCTTCCTAGGACTAATGATTTCAGCATCTTTTCACGTACATATGGGACACTTGTATGTCTCTGGAGAACTTTCTATTCAAGTTCTTTGCTCATCTCTTAATTTTTAGTGGAATAAGGTATCATTAATATGACTTCGTTCTTACAGTTTAAAATTTTAATCTATTTAGAATTCATGTGGAGGGTAATGATTTAGCATATATTTTACAAGTGCTTAACTATTTATCATACATCATTTAACAAATCTTGCTAATATGAAATCGTGGTATCATTTTAATCATGAAGTTGGATATACATATATACACAAATATAGCCACTTGAAAATATTTTGTTAATATGTCTGTTGATCATACCTGTAGTGTAATACAGAATTTTCACATATTTAGAAAAAAATTGATTCTCTGGGTAGTCAGGCCTTTCCAGTTAGATTTCAAAGACAAGAATTACTGCACTGTATTATATTGTAGGTTGAACTGTGCTGTAGTTACAAAGCAGCTCTACAGTCACAGTGACTGAGCACAATTACAGCTTCTTTCTTGCTCAAGTGTTGTGCAATCAGTCAGCAGCTCCCTCCTCATGAACTCCACTTGCGTCCTTCTTGTTGCTAGGGCAACAGGAGCAAATGGCTTCTCGAGTTGTGAAGGCAAAGAAAAAAATGGAGGACAAATTCGTTTTTATTTACTTTGGACAAGGAATGATGTATCACTCCAACTCATATTCCCATTTGCCAGAACTGTTAACACGATACCAGCAAACTACAGAGACCAGGAGACTTTCTCTTCCCCTGTGACCAAGAATAAGAACACTTGGGGCTTCCTTTATCACATCTACTTTATACATGTATTTTCGTAAAATATGTAATTCTAACAACTTCATGCAAATTCACAAAAGTTCATTTTATATAAGTAAAATCCTATAGTCTTTTCTAAAAGACTTCTGTGACATAATTAATATCTTAATTTAATTTTATAATAGAAGGGTTTTCTTAAATAAAAAACTTAATGCTGATATATTAGGGGTCTATGTATGTTAGCCTCCATTCTAAGAGCTTCATATCGATTTCATCTGCAAGAAAGTCTATGATATACACACCAGAAATGCAAACTTGACAGTAACTTGTCATTTACTCAAAGTGTAACATAACTGAGGAAGTCAGCCAGAGAAAACGCTACAGTTTTATGTTATAGATGGTATGTAAATGAATTTTAAAAGTCACTATATGATAGCTTTGATTTGTTTCAGTTAGTATCCAACATAAAGATCTTAGAAATTTTTCAAAGTATCTAGAAATATCCTTCACACTTAAAGAAGATAATTACACAGTATTAGCAATTATTGGGCATGGTCATTGTTTTTTTCACAAATTTGATTCATTCATTAGGAGATATGTGTGTGTGTGTATACACACACACACACACACACACACACACACACACATACACATATAGCAGAGGAGGCTGTTGAGATGTTGAAGCTTGAGCTTTTATATATCCCATCTAAGGCTTATTTGATTTTCTTAGGCATGTTATGTGCTTTCATTAAACCATTTTTTTTTCATTAAAAAAAAAACAGAATGAAACAAAACCAAATGAAGTCCCTGGACTTTAGTACGGCATCTGTATCATAAGAAGTGAAAAATATACATCATAATGCCATATGTGCAGATTAAATCACCATGAAACATTGATTGTTACTTCTCAGTGCTTGTATTATTTTGTATTTAAGACTATTGTCACTGAACTCTGTTATCCATTTAGCTTAATAATAGTTGCATAGTGTTTTGATAGCTTCCTTAAAATATGAGAGCCAAAAAAAAAAAATGGAAGAAAGCAAAGCAAACTATTTCTCCTAACTTTTTCAAATTGGCTCTGTGCCACAATCCTTCATCATGTAACCAGGCCATCTGTAACGCTGCCTTGGACTTTACTTCCCCCTGAAGTCTGTCACAAATGGATGATCATAGTCTTCTGAGGCCTTCTCAGGCCATGTGGCAAGCCCCTGGGTGTGTGTATGGTCATCTTACACAAGATCATTTAAAGGGAGTTGTTCCCTTATATATCTCATTTCTCAACTTCTTGCAACCAACCCTGAATTTTTAGTCTATTGCTCATTCTAGCTGCACTTGTATCACCAATACTTTATATTACATGCTTTTAAGTAAAACCTCTGTTGGGAGGCCACCACAGCTATGAGATTGCATGAAACTGGGTAGAACAAAAAAAAAATCAAGCTCTATGTCTGTCGTTGACGTAGCTGTCAGATAGGCCAAACCACAATGTCATCAGTGAGGATAAATCCTGCACTGGTCCCTCTAGTCTAGCAAACTCAACCAGGGATGCGAACTGCTCTGCTTATGGTTGCCAGTCATCTGGAGTGTGAATGGTGAGAAGCAGGCAGTTTAATGCTCCCAAGCATGCTTAGAGAACAAGACAACAATTTCTTTCTTCTTGAATATTTGTCCTGATTGTTCTAAATATTTGTGTAGGTTCTGCAATTTGATATATATATATCAACTCTGAGAATTTTGCCAAATTATATACTATGCATGCTTAGAAAGACAGATCTGGAATCTCCTGCTATGCCTTTTTCAGTGATACCAATTTTTCATAAAGGTTCATGAGAACATACAAAGCTGTGTTAGTTCTAAAAAAAAAGTACACTTTGAAAGAATACCTAGTAACATGCATATTTACCTATAAACATGCATATAAATGAAATCAAAATATGTAGGATACATTGATGTTTTGCTTTGTCTTTGTAGATTTTTTTCAAAATAATAATTGCCTATAACTCATCTTTGTGCTTCTTTAAAACCTAAGATGTTTGTCTGTGACCTTTAAAATATGTAGATTAGCTTTACTTCACAATAAAAGAAAGAAAGCCAAATATTCTGAGAGATGTGTGTAAAAACATTAGTAACCGTATCTATAGGCATGTTCTCTGTTTGGAGAAATTTAGTAAATGCATGTGATGAATTAGAAAGATTAGCCATGCTGTTAATATTGTAAGGGAAAAAATCATCAGTTTGTATGATTCTAAATCCAAGTAAATATTTAACTATTTTACAATGCTTACCATCTGTTTTTGCACTTTTAGGTGATATTATAAAGGCAGCAGCTGATCTGGATCGAGTCCACATCATTGGTATCTTGGATATCTGTAATTTGGGGAACAATAAAGTGGAAGTCTGTTTGCAGAAAATTTATACTCCAGAATAGGCTTCTTAAAGATTAGTAGATGAAATAATTGCAGGTTATATATAGTATACTGCTTTAGAGATAGTTTTTTATTTTCTTGGTATTTTCATCAGAATATTACATGACCTTGAAAGTTAAGTGGTTTTCAGTTCATCTTTTATTTGGCTCTCTCACTTCATATTAGATTCATTATTTGAGGGAAAAAACCCATCAAGTCAATTTTATGTGTCAAAATTTACTTCACTTGTATGTGACTATTATCTTAACTTGTAACAATTTATGTTTTACTGTTCCTTTTGCAAAATCTATTTTTATTCCAATGTCTCAGTACAAGGTATCTTGGCTTACACAATTTAACAGCCTTCTGATTTTATTCACATACAGTGATAAATCTTGCATTGCAAATTCAAAGACTAAGCTATCGTTCTCCTAAAGTGACCACCTACATTTCTTGTAAGCAGGGTAGTGACTGTCATGTATACACACATGTATTGTAATGATCCAATTGCCACTCCCCATCTCTGCATTTGCTATTAAGTGAATATGTTGAAATTTTCACCCCTTTATTGTGATTTCCAATGCCTTGAAGTTTGAAGTGTTTTGACCAGTGTGTAATGTCAAATTTGGAGGCTACAGTATATCTACATTCTTACTGTGTTTGTTGGCAATTTCAGTATATGTAATGTGATTTTAGATTGTGAAATTTTATCTCACATTAATATCTGAAGTGCTTGTATTAAAAGTAAAGAGAAGTAACTAAGGGAATTTGTATCACTCTGGTTCTCTACTATACTGTGTTTCAAAGGTAAATGGTCACTCTCCATTTATAAAGGGCTGTGTCTGACACCCATGTGGCTAACTAAATGAACCAAAACAACTATCAAGATGAACCTGATTGTAGTCGAGGTATAAGGAAACATATGAGGAAGCAAGTTTTCCTTATAACCCTATAATTTTTTGATGTCATGTGCTATATACAGTTTTAATGTGTTGGGAAGCCTAAGAACTTAAAGGCATACTGTATTTTGTCTATAAAGGTGTTCAGTTTTCTTTATAATTGTATTGAGTGGTTAATTAAAACTGTGAATTTTTATGTTACTAGTTTCAGAGTGTTAATAAATATGTTAAAATGCAGTAAATTTTTAGTCTCCAGTCTCATTTTGAACATAATTCATATGTGTCCTATATATTGAAGGGCTATCTGTGTGCTAGAAAGTGATTCAAGATGATTTTCACTTGCAAGTTTGAATACTGTTGTTTTCAAATGGAATTTGGGGTTTAGGATTAACTTATTGCAGTTTTAAAAGGGCAATTTGACATTGGAGTCACATCCATAATGGGAAAATGTTAACTGAAAACCACAGGCAAAAGATATAAAAACTGTGCACAAGTATGATATCTGTTCTTATATTGAATGAAAAAAAAAAACCTTTTCAATTTTTTGAGTTTTTTCTTTTTTACTTATTTAATTTACATCCCACTCACTGCCCCCTTCTGGTCACCCCCTCTTACAACCCTTCCCTTTTCCCCCTCCCATTCTCATCTGAGCAGGTGTCCCCCCAACCCCATTAAACAACTTCTTTTAAAAATTTATATACCAAAGGCTAGGGCTGGAGAAGTGGCTCTGTGGCTGAGAACACTTGTACTTCTTGCAGAAGTCCTGGGTTTGGGTCCCAGCACCCACATGTTGATTGACAACCCTCTGTAAATCCAGTTCCAGAGCATCTACCCCCATTTTATGATCTCTGTAGGTACTAGGCATGCATATAGTACACATGCATATATGTGGGAAAAACTGATACACATAAAGTAGTATAATTTTTTAATTAAGAAATTTATGTTCTAGTAAAGCATCTGTCTGTGTACATTCAGAATTAAATATCCGTGTCCACACTTCTGGTTGTTGCAGAAGGTACATATTTACTGTGGCTGTTTCCCAAGGAAAGCAGCAACCTTCCATCAGGAGAATATTAATTTCAAATATACTAACATGAGGCCATCTTCCAAGAAACAAGTCAGTTGATAAATGACAAAATACTATGTGCTTAAGGATCAGAGTCTCACCAAAATTTCTAATTTTGGATAGCACATGAGATAGAGACATTAAAATACATGGGTATAATATTAAAGTGCTAATTTGAAAACATGCTGTCTGCCAAATATATATTTATACTTTAGTTTCATTTTTAATTATATGGGGGGGTAAGAGGTATTGGCCCATGTTAATAAAGGAACATGCACATGTAGAGTCCAGAAGAGAACATCAGATATCCTAGGTTGGAGTCACAGAGTTAGCTGTATACGCAGGGAAACATGCTCCAACCCTCTACCAAATATCATTTTAAGATTTTTTGTTAGACTGATCCTAATTCATTTTGCCCATATTTAGAAAAGGGTTTTAAAGAACTTTGAAATTTATATTTGGTGATGATGAACAGTATTGTTTGTTATTGACTAACAAGAATAACCAATTCTTAATCTTTCCTTATAAGTTGATTTTTAGTTTAGCATACAAAGTCATGGGTTTCCCCATGACATCTTCTCATTTGTTCTCACTTGTTCCCCTCACCCCACTGCTCTTCCTTCTACCTCCTGATACCTTTCTGCTAATTTCTTTTATCCCTTAGCATTGTTCCCACTTCTTTGTTATGTCCTCCATTATTCCTCAGTTCCTTACCTCCCTTAAGATCTCATCCTGCAGTCTCATGATCCGCTTTCACTTTCATGACTACACACACACAGAGACACACACACAGACACACACACAAACACACAATTTTAAATATAGGTCATGCACGTAAGAATAATTGTGGTATTTTTCTGAATCTAGTATATTTTGTTTAATAATAATTTCCAGGTTCATTCATTTTCCTGAAAGTGTCATAATTTCATTTATCTGCATGGCTGTGTAAAATTTGTTATATGTATGTACCACATTTTCATTATACATTCATCTGTTAAGAGAAACCTAGGATGATTGCATTTCCTAGCTACTATGAATAGTGCAGCAGTAAGCCTGGTTGCACAAGTATTTTTTGGTATGAGAACTTAAAATACTTTTGGTGTATACCCTAGAGTGGTATATCTGGGTCATGATCATTCTATTTTTATTGCTTTGAGAAGTATCCATACTTATTTCCATACTGGCCACACAAGTTTTACATTCTTACCAGTAGTAAGTAAAGTTTCCACTTATTTTACATCCTTGCTAGTATTCATTGTCATTTGTCTTCTTGATGGTAGCCATTATGGCTAGGAGAGCTGGAATCTCCCAATGGTTTTAATTTACATTTTCTTGATGGCTAAGATTGGTCAAAATTTTCTGAGCATTTATTTACCATTTCTGTTTCTTATTTTGAAAACTATCCAGATCATTAACTAATACATGGGTTGGTTGATTTGACATTTTGGTGTTTAATTTGCAATTCTTTATTTATTTTAAATATTGATCCTCTGTTAGATGTGTAGTTAGCAGAGACATTCTTCCATCCTTAGGTTGTCATTTGTTTTTGTTTGTTTTTGCATGCCTATTTTCTGAAGCCATTTGGTGATGTGTAGTTCGCTGTTTCACTGGTTGTCTTCTTGGATGTATTGACTGTTTCTTCTTTCTCTCGTAAGCATGAGTACCAGAGATTATGTAGATGAATTGATGAGAGGTAAAATACCTATTAACTAGCCTTTCTTGTTTCAGTAATGAGCTGGTTTCAGTAAAGCACATTTAGGGAAAATGTTTGAAAATAGGTAAAAATTACATTTGGGGTTTGTATGATAGTTTTAGTGATTTGAGATTATACTTGAGTTTGTGTCTAGTCTATACAAAGAGAGAGAAAAAATCCACTAAGATAGAAAAATCTATGTCATTCATTCTTATATTATTATGTTAAGTACCTCTAACCTAAACTTTCTACTTGCCTTTATATTCTGTCTCTCTGTCTCTTCCTTGTCTCTCTATCCTTGTCTCTCTCTCTCTCTATGCATCTCTTCTCTATCTCTCTGTCCCTGTCTCTATCTTTGTCTCTCTGTCTCTTCTCTGTCCCTATCTCTGTCTCTCTGTCTCTCTGGCTCTTGTCTGTCTCTCTGTCCTTGTCTCTCTGTCTCTCTGTGTGTGTGTCTCTTCTCTGTCTCTCTATCCCTGTCTCTTCCCTCTCTATGTTTCTCTTCTCTCCCTGTCCCTGTCTCTATCTTTGTCTCTCTGTCTCTTCTCTATCCCTGTCTCTGTTTCTCTGTCTCTT